AACAAAACCAGAACCAAAAAAACACATCAGCTCTGCAAACTTTTACAAGTTACCTCAAGTATTTCAAAAGACTTTACAAATAATAGGGATTCCCAAATGTGTTTTGTAGCACTCAAGCAAGTGTGCTATTTCGGAAGGCATCTTGGGGAATAGTGCAGCTCTGCTAACTTTAACCAGGCAAGGTTGGCTCAGGCACAAAGCTTTGTAAAAACCTCTCAGACAGAAGTGAGATGATCTCTGTATAGTGAACAGCAGCTTTTACATTCTTACAGCAAAACAGCAAACCTTCCTGGAAACCTGGGCAGAAGCTTTCTCACAGCAAGTCAATGCCAGCCTCCAGAGTGCAGCAGTAGTAAAGGCTCCCACCCTTTGTATGTATGGTGTATTAGAAGAGTATTGCTAATGGTGATAATACTCAGTCTTTGTTTTTCATGATTTTGCATGCCACAATCTCCTCTGCTGGTGCCAGACACCCAACTTTGTTGCTTTCCTTCATAAATCACTTCACAATTCAAAATATACAGCTTGCAATAATGGATTTCACTAATTCTTCCTTTTCCTATCTGCACAGTATTTTAAGGTAATAAGCAATTTAAATTAATGTATCATTACAAATTGCACACAAAACAATGCTTGTTCCTACATTTGATAAGTGGCAATTATCAGTAAGTTCGCATGACAAACGTGGTTTTTTTTCTGGTTGTGTTTAGAATGATCTATTTCATAAAATCCTTCTTCAGATGGACATTCACCCATGTGGACATGATGAACTGACAAGAAAATAAAAATGTATCTGAAAATTGACTTACAAAGCAAGTCACATTTAGGAGCAGGACTTCACGCTCCATGGATTGTTCCCATACCTTGCAATAAACAATTCACTTCTAATGCAAATAATCTTGACTCGCAGTGTATTGGTATTGCTTACGACTGCTTTAAAGACAATCCTCCCACTGTCTGAGAATTGATTATCTCAGCTACAGATGCAATGACATATTGCAATGACAGTTGGCCCACAGATCATCCAATTCAAGGTCAGCACCAACACAACCAGTGCTTTACCAAACAAAGCTATTGGACCTATTGGTTCTTGAATCTTTGTACTTTGCAATGAAGCATAGGGATCTTTCTTTAGAGACACTACACTATACTTGTCCTTTTAGAACAATTACAGGTATTTCAGAGTATGTTTTTTTCTGCTAATTTTGTGTGATCGTGAATTCTTTATCTAAGTAGAACCTGCATATGCCTGAGCAGACATCATGGTTTTCCCTGTTTTTGGTTATTCTGTGAAACATGCTGCTCTGGTACACTTGGTTAGTATAATTACTCCATTAATATATTTTAGAATTAAATTGCTTAATAAAATTATATTAAATATTTAGAGTTTGAGGTGAGATGAAATATTATAAAAGCCACTTATTTTCTTAGGCCTATACTTTAGTAGTGTACAGACTTCTAGTCGTGTAATTTAACCTAGAAAAATGCTGACGTGGTATTGATTTATGTAGATTCAACCTATGTTCTGACACATGACTAGAGGGTGTTCTCCATAATTCCAACTCAGCAAAGCATGTAAGAACACGCACAGCATTAGGCATATACTTTCTACCACTAGTACTTCATTCCAGTCAACGCAGATTTTCACTGCAAATTCTGCTATGCCTGTCTTTTACCATACACATCATACACGCATCCCAAGGAGTATGTGGGATTTTAAGCTAGGTTCTCTAAAATGAATTACTTCTTTGAGTAGCTGAGAAATCCCTTATGGAATCCTGGCCGAGGGCATCTGTGTGGGTTTCTCTGACACAGACGATGTGGTGGAGCTGAGGGCTGACACCAAAAGGTGTGCTCTGTCCCTAGCTACATACCTGCACCTTTACCAGCTGTGCTGCTCATCTGGTCCCACTCTCTCTTTTTGCTTACTTATGTATTTAACTGGGGGAAGGTTCACTTTCTTCCAGCATAGCACCCTGTGCACTGCAGCAACAGGAGCACACAGCCGGAGCTGTGTGATGTAGCAGCGTGGGAGGGGTGAGATGCAGCACCGTGGCCCTCACAGCAGCACCCAGCTCAGCACACCTTACTTTAAACCCACGCTTCAGTGCACTCTGCACCACCACGAAGCCCAACCTCTGCGTTACAGTGCTCTAAACCCCTCCCCCAGCTTTCAAACAAGGCGCCCTAATTAAATGCAAAGCTGCTTTTAAGAAATTGATTGAAAAATGTACTCCTAGCACTTGGAGTAGCTTTCATCTGAACATAAAAGTCAGTTTATCAGAGTTAATCTTTTTAGCATGCACTTGTCTTACCAGAACAATTTTCTTTCATTTGGTCAAGACAAAGGAATTCAGGAGTTTCTGTAAACTAACCCTCCCCTCTCTTTGTTGCATTTTGTTGACATATTGGCAACATTCCTTCCAGTTTTAATTGGATTAAGCACATAGGAATTTAGTGAGTTGAAAAACAGACAGGATTCCAGGTACCTTTCTGCTATTGTTAAATACAAAAGGTCTAAGAATAAAACTAAATAAAACCAGAACTGGTCTCCTGAAAGTAATGAAATGTGCTCGCTGCATTTACTCAGGCAGTCAATGGGGGGACGAGGAGAATGGCAGCTGTTTTTCCAGGCTTTCAGGGGGAAGTCAGGCTGAAGCCAACTCTGACACATTCTTTACTTCTCAGGGCAATGTCAGGAGACTGCGAGTGGAAAACCTGAAAGTACTGAATCCTCTGACTTCTGCTTGTCTGAATCCAGTTACCTTCTGTTTCTGTGGGTTTTGGTAGAAGTGCAGTCCCATCAAAGAGCTAAAATGGAAGCAAAACGAGATGGAATGCCTGATGAATTTTTAATGCAATCTCAAAGCTAATGGAGAAACCAAAGCAGTACATTTGGCCATCTTTTGAGAAGAAAGAGAAAATAATAATTACTTGAGATAGAAAGAAGACTAATCAGAATACTAATTAATATACTTTTTTTTTTTTACATCTAATGTGATCCTCTGAATGCATTTGTTAATTCTAATCACATTTATCTCAACCTAATGCTTTTCATGAGGGACTAAGAGCACAAAATGGCATGTGAAAATAAGAGTGAATGGTAAAAAAGTCAAACTGCTGGAGGAAGGTGAGTGTAAGAAGACTACTATGTTCCTGGATGTAGTCATCCGAGTTATCAGATGTGCAAATGCTGCAAATTGTTTTAACTCTCATTTCTGATTTGCTTCATACACCAGAGGAATAATGTCATTAATCTATTGTTTTTCTTGGCAGAAGTTATCCAATAACTTTAGCACATATAACAAAGCTACTATTCTAAATTCTCATACAAATTAGATTCTGCAATCAGGGAGTGCACTCATCTTCAAAATAGTCAGAAATGACATGAGTTAAACTGTTCTTTGAAAAAATCCAGCGTTACTAAGCAATACCTCACTTTTCAGCTTTAAATGACAACAAGCTGCTTGCCTTTAGTTTTCAACAGTGCCAAACAGTGAGATTAATAAGACACTGTTCCTTTAGTCAGGTTGGTATGCAGGAACTTCAGCTCATTATTTCACTTCTAGCACTACTTGATATTCTCAGTTTTAATATTGCAAGGCATCTTTAACACCAGCCAATAGGCCAGTAAAGAATCGGATGAGACACCAGGAATCTTCTGAACTGAAATACAACATCCAAATCCCAAACTAATTAGCGGTCCCTAATTATGGAGCTGCTTACCTTTTTTTTTTACGAGTCAAAATTACTTTTAAAGAATCCTTGATGAGACTGCATGCTAAAAAGAGTCATTCCACCTTTGTGTACAGAAACCCAGAAAGGATGTGCAACTTTAATGAAGTATTGGGACAACATATAAAGCATTTTTTTTAAAGCCACAAAACCAAATCCAAATAAACAACTACATGTTCTGCAGGCAAAATGGGCGATTGGTGCATTACAGCTTGTTACAGAGGCTAACAGATTCTGCATGATGACGGGTGTCTTCAGAAATGCTTCGGTTGTTTGGCTTGTTGAATGTGCAGTGCATTCACATTGCCTATTCATAGGGCCCCAAGCTTCCTTCCATTACCAACACCAGAAGTAATGAATTTTCAGCTTCTGGTCGATCACACTGGCAAACTTGTAAGCTGCACCTCTGAAGCTGCACCTGGGCTTCTCATAACCTCCACTCTGATGATATTAAACACGTTCTTCATATCAGCTGTTACACGTCTACAAATGACACTTTCTCCAGAGGCTTTTGTTGACACAAATGCTCATGGTCATTCTAACACTATTGTAGCATAAGGATTTTAGTCTGGATAGCAATAAACACTGAGAAAACCATGACTTCAGTGGTTGAGACCACTTGTGGTGTGTCAACTCCAGCAAATTTTCTAGAAATACATTTAGGAACTAGTTACTGTAGAAAAGACCTTTCCACACTGCTATTGCCAATAATGTCACCACTGGGTTTACAACAGGATTTCTTTGAAACTATAATTACATTTTTGTCACACTGCAGCTGTGTTCATAACTGACTTTTCTTAACCAGTTTCCACGGTCAGTCCCTGTTTCTGGAGGCTGTAACTCGTCAGTAAAACTCCATTCTTAAACTGATGATAGAGGGGTGGTTCTTAGGGCTATGAGCAAAGAGAAATGGAAATCATCTGGGATCAATCTTTTTCAATTTCTGCCTCAGATGCTGGTTTGGTGCGGAAGGGTACATGTCCATTAGCCAACTTCAGTTCAGCTATTGAATAAATTAAGGCCCTCCTTCTCTCCTTCCTTCCCCCTTTCCTTCTCATCTTCCCTCCTTCCCCCCTTCTCCCCTTTCTTCCCCCCTTCCTCCCTTCTCTCCTTCCCCCCTTCCTCCCTTCCCTCCTTCCTTCCTTTCTTCCCTCCTTCCCCCCTTCTCTCCTTCCCTCCTTCCTTCCTTCTTTCCCTCCTTCCTTCCTTCCTTCCCTCCTCCCTCCCTCTCTTGAAAAAGGCACTTCAGACACAACCTGCTGTCTTCCTCTTAATTATTGACTTTGAAAGTAGCCCTAGGCAATAACTCTCTAGGTTAAGTGTCTAAAGTTAGGAAAGACAAACCTTGGCCACAGAGTACACAAAGTTGCTATAATGTGGGTGCCAAAATGATTGGAAATCATCCTCACAGTAGCTAGCAATGGTTGATAGGTTAGATTAGACAACATTCTTCAGGGGGCCTCTTCTACATCTTGGATTTAGTCATTCACGGTAATTTCACTGCTACCCTGTTTTTGAGAGCATGTTCCGTAAATCTGCAGGTAAAAGCAAGGAATGACAGGGCTGTTATTAAAATGATTTTGACCAGCCCCAGTGATGATTTGTCCAGTGAAGGCTGGGACAAACTACTGCACTGTGGAAGGACCACCACACTGGCAGGATGGGCAACAGTTGTGCAGCAGCTGATCTGGGGGTACAGTGGCCAGCAAACAGGAGCCTGGGATGTCCTGTCCCCACAGAGTTCAGAGAAGAGTGACACAGACCCAGGGCAAAGCTGGAGAAAAATGACAGCAGAAGAGAAAAGGGACACAGGGAGGGACAAGCATGCTGCAGTGGGGCTGCTGGTGTTTGGAAGTCCTATGGAAATGTACAGTATTCAGAAAATAACTCTGAGTAGAAAAAAAAAAAAAAAGTGTATCTGAGTATATGCCAGAGAAGTGGCACATGCCAAAACCAAAACATAACAATACAGCTACTGAGAACACAACTGAAAAGACATTTTTTCCTGCCTACAGAAATAAACCATGCAGTGTGTACCAAGTAACTTCTTCAGCTCAGAAGAAAAGCTACAAACTGTCACGCATGTTGACTGTTTATCTGTAAAGAGAAGCTTTTTAGTGCTTGTCAGGTATTTTCCAAGTACAACCACACTATGCCTTTGCAGATCCTTATTTTTTGTTTTGTACAAAAAAGTGACTGAAGCCTACTCTTCCATGCAGTGTGAGCTGGCTGTGCCTCAAAGCAGTATTCTTTGCAGTGCAGTAGGTCCAGCACAACATTTTCTTGAAGTACCTGTGTGATTTGAGCCTCTTCTCACAGGAACAGAGAAACTGAACTAATGATGTTTCTGTGATCTTCCATTTTGCTGGCTCTGTGAGGGTTCCCCACTTTGTGACAAAACCGGCCATCAGCAATGCATCTTCCCCACTAGACAGCACCACAACACGGTAATAAGGTGTAAAACTGTGAATCTGAAGAGAATCACTGAATCTTTATTCATGCACCCTGAATTTGAATACATTCAGATGCCTAGTCCATATGAAAGGCTTGTGCAGATGAGCTGTGGCACCTGATAACATCACATGGTGCTGTTAAGAAGTGCAGCACTGCGGTGCTCCAGGAACTGCACTGTGCACAGAGAACACGACTTAGCTCAAACAAAATGCTCTGAATCAACCCTTTGTTGTTGCCATGCCTGTATAATGAAGGAAATGAATAAAAACCTCTGTCTTGTGCTGCAAACTCTTAACTTGCACAAGACAGCAGGCAGAATAGGTAAGGTATAAAACATAGCACGTGCATTTTTTTGTAATGTATTTAGGCTGCAAATACTTAATTTAAGCCATAATTCCAAGGTTTCCTCTTTCATCCGAGGTGGGTCTCTTCTCAGTAAATTTGTACAGGAAGCCATAGCCCAGATAATATAACTTCTGCACATATGAAAAATAGTACTTTGTATCCTGAAAACAAAACACATAGGGAGTCATCCACTGTCTGGAAAATCTATGCTTACTTCACAAGAACGCATTTCAGATTCCTTAAAGGTGTTTATATAATGTTAATTAGAGATCAAAGATAATTTGATTACGAGCGGGGGAGAATAAAAGAAAATGCTGATTATGTTATTTAAGGATGTACTGTTGTATGACCTTAAAGAACGAGTTTCAACTCGTCTGATGGAAAGAACACACCACTCTTAGGAACTATAAAAACACATTATCAATTACAGCTTGACCTTGATTGAAACCTACTCTGTATGTTCAGTAAAAATGTGCTTTCATTTCTCTGCAAAACATACTGCTGATAAATGAATTTTAGATGGGCTAGAGTAAAAATCCAACTTACCTGAGTACAGATTTGTTTTAGTAGGAGAGAACCAGAAGTAACTCTGAAAAATGAATGGAGGTGGGCAGTACTGACTTGGGTGAAAATTAAGTTCTGCCATCACTTTAAATGATTTAATGCAAGCTAAGCAAACATGACCAAAAAAAAAAAAAAATAAAAATCAAAGAATGCAGAGGAAAACCTGCCATACCTTAATTCAATTAAGAAAGCCAAGCACATATTTTACCATAAATTATATGCCTATTATAAATTGTGAACGATTGCATACATTATAATATCGTACAGTGTAAAAGCTTGTTACACCTTTATTTGAAGAAACAGGATGAAAACAGCTGAAAAAAAGCTTCTGAACTGAGGCAGCTGATGCACTCTCATCTCTGGTGTCCACGTCCTTGTAGTTATCTGTGATACAACACTAAATTGCAGTTCTGCAAAAGAACAAGGTGCATTTGTTAAATTTGTAGCTCGGAGAAAAATAGCCATCAGCCCATACCTCTAAAACTTCTTGTTGTTACAACCAGTTCAAACAGACAAAAATCCCCCAACAAACCAGGCATTCTTTCTAAATGGGCTCCTCCAAAGCCATGTCACTGCCTATAAATAACTGTTATCGTGTGAAATCTGAACCTTTCTGCCAGTAAGCGAGCGCTCGGGAGAACAATGCGTTATGCAAAATGAAGTCATATGAATCATCTCACAAAATTTGATTTTTAAGTGGGTACAGGCGCTTCAAAGCACAGAAGCGCTCCCTTACCTATCACACTATATATAGGATTATTATTTTTTTCTTATGACAGAGAAATAAAGAGATGAAAGGATGAAAAGAAGCAATCACAGAGAGAAACAAAGGGAGAATTATTCCTAAAAACGTAACAAAATAGTTCTGTCTCACTGAGCGCGATGCACATCGCTGTGGTCCACACGACCCCTTGCGTTAATTCCATGTCCAACTGCCGTGCTGACGTCACTTGCCAATAACCTATTTTTTACCTCACAAATTACGCCACCCTACCCCTCACCTTCACACCTAGAAGCTGCATGCAAGCGTTCAGACGCAAATATAAACTCCTCCACCAGCTGCTTTTTATAGGGAATGGATTTCAAACAGAGCTGCCTCCCGCGCTCTGTTTCGAGGTGCCCAGGTCAGAGCCAACAGCCGCCCCTCAGCGCCGCCCCCGCCGCCGCTCGTCCCGCCGTTCTCCGGGCCCGGCCCCTCGGGCCTCGCTCAGCACAGCCCGGACCGGCACGTGCTGGAGGAGCGCGGGCCCGCCTCCTTCTGCCGCCGGTGCGCGGGGAGCGCCGCGGGGCGGGGCGGGGCAAACCGGCACGGTCCCATCGCGCCCGCCTCGGCGTCGCCGCCGGCTCCATCCGCCGAAGGCGCGAAACGGGGCGCGCATGCGCCGAGGCGCGGCGCGCGGGGCCCGCTGGCGCCGCCGAGCCACCCTGTGCCGCTGCTGCTGCTGCGCGCGGGCGGGCGGGAGCGGGGCGCGCGGGGAGGGACGTGATGACGCGCTGCGTGTCGCCAGCCGCGCGACCCACGCAGCGTCCGCCGGGCGCGTGCCTCCTCCCGGGCCAGTGCGTTCGGGGCCGCTCCGGGCGGGGGCGGGCGGGGCGAAGGCTCAGTCCTCCTCCCTCCTTCTCCTCCTCCCTCTCCCTCTCCTCCTCCTCGGGTCCCCTCGCCGAGGGCCCGGCCCCTTCCCTCCGCGGAGCGGGGCCGTGCGGCGGCGCCTCCTCCCGCTGCCGGCCGCGCCGGACAATAGGGGCGAGCGCGGCGCCCGTCTCCCCCGGCCTCGCTTCCATGCGCGGCGCCGGGCGCCGGGGCTGACAGCGGTTCTTCCCGCCGAGGCCGAAGGAGCGGCCGCCGGCCCCGGGCCGGGACTCGCCGCCTCGGGCGCCGCAGCGCCGTCCCGCTCCTCCGCCCCCCCCCCGCCCTCCCTCCTCCCTCGCTGCCGGCGGCGGCTCCTGCCGGGCTTTGGCGGCGGCGGACAAAGGCGCGGGGCCCGGCGCGGCCCGGCCCGGCCCCCCGGGGGGTGCGCGGGCGGTGAGGAGGCGCCGGGCCCCCGCGGGCGCTCTCCCTCCCGCCGCCCCGCTGCGGCGAGCCCCGCGCGGGCAGGTGCGGCGGCGGGCGAGGCCGCTGCCCTGCAGCGGGTCGGCGTCCCGAGACCTCTTCAATGGAAGTATGCTGCCAGCTGCCGGTGCTGCCCCTCGACAGGCCGGTGCCGCAGCACGTCCTCAGCCGCCGAGGGGCCATCAGCTTCAGCTCCAGCTCCGCGCTCTTCGGCTGCCCCAACCCCCGGCAGCTCTCGCAGGTAGGCGCTGGGTGCCGGGACGGAGGGCCGGGGGGCCGCCGGCGGGACGGGCTCCCCTGGGGCCCGGGCTGCTCGCGGCCCCGCCGGCGGAGAATGCGACATTTTGCGTGTGCCCGCCGGAGCCGGCCGCGCGGCGTCGGCTGCGGTGCGGGCGGTGACCTGCCGAGGTTATCCCCGGCGGCGGGCGGTCGGCCGCTTCGCCTTCGACTCCTGATCCGGGGCTGCTTCCTAGCGTCCGGCTCGGGCCCTTCGAAGACGGGCCGGGTTTCCGATGGTGCGGCCAGAAGCTGAAGTGACTTTACTGAAATAACGAACGTGCGCTGCGGCGTCCTGTTTGGGATGCCGAGCTGTGCCTCCCTCCAACTGTGAGGACTTGGCAATCCGTCTCGAAGGAGACAAAGCTCCATGGCTTCGCATTGCCATGGTGTTGTTCCCTGCCCACATTACATCAGTCGCAAGATGAACTCCGTGGTATTTTGTTTCATCCGAGCGTGATGGGAACGTTACAGAAACGTGCGTTATGACTATGGGGACAACAGGGAGGTTTTCCTTGAGGGCACTGTCCTGAATTTTTGGGATGTGTGCTGGTGTGGCCGTGGCCTCCCAGCAAATGGTGATAGGGTTAGGTTCTGGTATAAGCCTCCCGCTAACGTGTGGAATTGCGGAGGAAAGCGTGTGTGTTGGTGGAAGGCAGCTTTTGGCTCCTGAGGGTTTCTTGAAAGGTCTCTTCTGGGACTCCTCACTATGTCCTTACAGAAGATGCAGTCTTTGTTCTTCACGCTTGTAACGGCCATTTCTTTCTCTTCACGTTTTTTGGTGTTTCGTTAAGGTATTGCCCTCTTTCGTGACTTACTGTGCTACACGTGCATAAGTAGAGCATGGAGAGCTGTTGGGCTTGACGTTGTTCCTCCTTGGGCAGCAGTGAAGCTCTTTGTGTTAACATGAGGGATGTGAGCTTTTGGGAAGGAAGAATGAGCAAATACCATATTAATTACCAGGAGTTTGAATATATAGTAACACCTTATTAGTAAGGAGATGAAGATAAGCATCCGTTGACCATCCCTCCACCAACTATGAGTGAATACTTAATTGGTGAAAACTGTTTTTATGACAAATTAGTTTTCCGCGTGGCAACTGGGTTAGGAAGTTTTCCGTTTGCACTCCTTCACCAGAGTTTTATTTTATGGTGGTGAGTTTCCTATCTGTGCAAATCTTCTTGAAGGTCCAATCTAACCAAGCACGTGACCTGTGCTAGTAAGGGAAGGGTCTCTTGTTAGAAGAATTCATGGTCTTCTGGTAGAAGGAATGGGCAAAGTGGTCAAAGTGACACATTCTATTTGTTCCTTTTCTGTTTAGTCTCCAGTGCATGTGAATGATCAATTATGTGCAAGCTCAACAAATTAAATGGGGTAGTGGCATTTAGGTATTTTTTTTTTCCCATCTTTTGAGCTTCTTGACGTATTCCTTTCTTCTTGACCAATGTGCTGCAGGTATAATTGGGTGAGGGAGGTGTGGTTATGTAACATGTCAAAAAGTGAAAACCATGCGTATGCTTGACCAAGTAGTATTTTCTTTGGGTAAGTCAGATAAATAAGTCTGTGCATACTTAAAAGTGAGCTAGGGTATTTAAGGGAGGAACTCCCTGCAAATACTGTCTGGCTGAATATAGGACAGCTATGTTTTGTTGTCTTTGGACTACCCTTTTCTCCACTTTGGACTCATTTACAGATAATAGGATACGAATCTCTCTCAAACTTGCTATTATTGTAGGCAGGTATAAATGATGGGCTGGAGGGTTAATTGGTTCTTTGTAACTTCTGAACTTCACCTTGCAAGTCTCCTGGAGGGCTCCTGGAATTCCAGTTCCATTGTGTTTCAAGAAGTGTGAATCTGGTCTGTTGCTTTCATTCTTCTGTTTGGGCTAGACTTGAGCAATAGGAGTACAACTGAAGATATGTACTAACATGCTTAAGAAATGGAATTGTACAAGTTGGAAAAGACCTCTGGTGATGATCCAGTCTAACTCCCCTGCTAGAGGAGGCTCCTTACAGTAGGTTACACAGAAAACCAGTGTGCGCAACCAGACCAATATCTTATGGTTTAATATGCATTTCTTAGGTTTTTGTCAAAAAGTAAGGTCTTGAGAAGTGAATTCTTCCTTAAAATGTGAAATTACTTAGGCTTAAGACATGATAGGCTTAGCTTTTTGACAAAGAAGCATTCATATGGGAAACAGTGGTAAGACATGCATACTATGTTAGGTGTAGATTTTAGTCATGACGATGTGAAGTCTGCAAATATTTATCTCAATTTAAGTTCGATTTAATATTTAGTTAAGTTTCACTGTGTGGGTTCCAATAGGGCTATGCGTGTTGGTTGGTTTTTTTTGTTTGTTTGTTTGCTTTTTTTTACAGTGTGGATAAAGCACTGCTGCAGATGATCTCAGGAGTTGTGGTCTACTCTCGTCAGCTCCAGGAAGGATGAATTGTACTTAGAGTATTATTAGTAGATGTTTGTCTAATCTGTTTGTCTAATATGTTTTTTAAGATAGAGTCTTATGAGATGTGGTGAGCTGACATAACTCATTACTGCTGAAGGTTAAAGTCCTGACATTGGGCACATATTACTACTGCTTCCTTTATGCCATCTCTGTTGCTTGTCAGGTGTTCCTGATTCAGTTCACCAAAGGAACAGGCAGCCTGGTCAGAAAGGCTGAGTGGTGACCTGCCATCTCCAGGAATACCATAGGCTTAGTCAAGATTGTCACAACTGATATAAAGAAAAAGGATGGTACCATGAGGCTTTTGAAATCATATCCATAAAAGCCTCAAATAATAGGAATTATGCAATCTTACCAGACAATTTAACTGTTGTTAACAGTGCTTAACTGTTCTGTCATTTAATAGTTCTTTCGTAATAGTGAGTTTAGATCTTCCTTGTGGCAATTTAAACCCGTTTCTGTCCCAACTAAATGTAGAAAGAAAACTTATTTCACTTTGCAGTTTTCTTTTATGAATGAATTATTTCACTGTACTCTTCTTTTCTCTAAGTTCAAAGTATTAATAATGAAAAGAGTAAAAGTAAAAGAGTAAAAGGCATCTATTACCTGGCGGTTATTTGTGATAATTGCAGTTCCAGTCCAGTCAAATGAAGAACTGCTACTGTGTGGTTTTATACAGCTTTTTTTTTTTTTTTAAGTTTTAAATGCTAGTGTCATAAGCTGGTTTTAAGGGCAGCTGAATTGGTGATTATTGAAATGATGAGGTATTTCTCACTGGTGAGATTAAATTGGGGTTCACTGCAAGGTCAGGTGGATGTTAAGTAGTACCTTGGATCATGCCCTAGGGGTGTTTGTTCCCACTGTTACAAAAGGATGTTTTTAAAACTAAAGGTGAGCTTTCAGACGATAATTTTGGATTTTTTGCCTCATGTCATTTTTAACTTCTGTTATTAATATTAGTTAAAAAGTTGCTAAAAACCGTGGCAATGCTTATTTAGCGTGAAATGTTTGTCTGATTTTTGTTCTTTAATGAATGAGGGTTTATAATGAAAACCACTTTAGAAACACAGCTGTGAGCACTTTTTGATGACATGCCCAGCATTGCACTCCACATGCACACAAAAAGCAAACCAACAAAAAAACTTGAATTGAGAGGTCAGCACATGCTTGCATGGCATAAAAAGCAGTCTCAGAAACACGTCATAAGTGAGTAAGAGAAAACTTTGGCCTAGCCTGTCATTCTTGCCTCCTTTTTATCCTTCTGCTGTGTTACTGGTTCCATGCTGGTTTCATTGCCTCCAAAAATCACATCAGTGGGAGCTGCTGGTGGAGTCTGAATGGAAGTAACGATCCAGTTTTTGCCTTTCTACCCGTAAGGGTTGGAACAAAAGAGATGTAAGGGTGAAATTCCATTAAGAGGGAAAGGGGCAAGTAATAAAAGATTCCAATGGAATCTCAGAAATGTAGACACTCAGCTTTTACCTGAAGTATTGGGTATTATTGTTCACCAGTCGTTAGTAACTTACTGTCTGCTCTCTAGTAA